GCATCCGAAGCCACAAAACAAGATAAAGAGTTGACTCCTTAGAAAATATTATAATCCACAGTCCATCCACCGGAGGAATCCCCTCATTATCTTTAATCTTCGCTTTCATATTATCAATCGTATTAGAACTCTGTAATATTTTTCTAATTAAGAGTAAACTACTTTTAAACTCTCATCTTCACATTATCAATCTATCAAAGTTCACAACCACGCAGGCGTAGAAAGCCAGACTTGAAAGCTAGCTTTGAAGGTTGGAGAACTTCTACTTAGTGTTGGGTTTTTGATTATATCAACGCGTTAGTGATGGCTCAACCCGAAAATAGCTCAACCCGAAAATAACTTGGGGCCACTAAAAGTAACTTAATTGAGTTAATGTTGCTCGTGGTCCAACACTCGTTGATGGCCCAAGTTATGGTTATTAGTTGGATGATGATATATGTTGGCCCATTTATTATCGGTTAGTTGTCGTCTTTAACGGCAGCCCATTTTGTGAACTTTGGCCTAATTGGAGTGATCTAACTAGTGCTCTATATATCCTCCTTTTTTTGTCTACATATGTGTTGTGGGTGTATGTGTGTGCAATAGAGGAGAAATTGTGAGGTAGCTGTTCTTTGTAATTCGTTTGATTGTTCAACCATTGCACTTCTTTTCTTTCTCCTTTTGTGATATTGCTATCACCACTTTCCTCCTTTATGGGGGTGAGGCAACCAGAGTATTAAAGGTGTGGGTCGAGCCCCCTCGATTGGTGTTTGTTTGGTTGATTAAATTGAGCACAGATCAAGATTTCTCGAAGATTTTAGCGACAAATGGTATTAGAGCTTTGGGTAGTTATGAAATCTATGATTTTTGAAGTGAAAAATTGAACAAAAATGCCCAGAAAAGTTGTTGGAAACCGGAAAAAAAACAGAGAGAAACTACCCAGTTTTTAAAAATTTTGGTCAGACTTGTTTTTGCGTTTTTCGGCGAAACCACTCATCCTTTGGAGAAATGGTGACCATTAGTGGACTATACAGGCGGAGGCGGACCTGGTAGTTCGACATGTGTTGCGGCGCGTGAAGCCCCACGCAGCGATGGGGAGGAGCGTGTGAAGTTTTCCTACAACGACGTCTTCAGGCAGAATGTTTTTGGTGGCGTGGTGAACCCTATGGTGGTGGCCATTTTCAGTTTCGAGCTATACAATGAAAATTTGATGATTTTGCCCTTCGACATTCGGGTGTCGGGTGTCGTTTTGTGTTGATACGGTTGTCGGAAGGTTTGGGATGGATAGTTCACCCAATTTCTCTGTGAATTTTTTAAGTATTGGTGTTAGAGTAATCTTGTGGTACGTGTGTTGATTTAAATTGAGCTCTAACCTTTGTGGTCGCCAAAGGTATTGATTTGCCATAATGGTTTTTTGATACATTAGGAGTGAGGATATCTATTGGTAATATGGAGTATATATACCTAGGGTTACATTGGTTGTTTGTACCAGGGATGTGAAGTGTGACATTTGAATCACGAGTGGATGGGTGATTACATGTTGGAATCCTTTATTTGCGAAGAGATCATGATCACGTGGAGTGTGAGAGATGCACTTCTATCACTTTTGTTAGGTAGAGACCCATTATCCACCTAGGTTGGGAGAAGTGATGTGATGATAAATGATTCTCTATGACTTAGGATATATAGAGATTTACCAATTAGACATAAGTTGAGTGATTAGTCTAGTGAGCATTGTGGACGATGAGATGAGATGTGTTTTTGAGGCATGAGTAACAAATGGGATAGGATAAGTGTGGTGAGATCTTTTCATGAGATCATTTTTGCATTTGTTGCATATGTGTTTTGACTGTTTGAGTGATTAACTTGGTGTTAATCTATTATTCTGTGTGAACGTGTTTTTGGAAAGATCTGCGGATTATCCTATATTATATCTTCATCGCATGATTGTTTGCTGTTATTATCTGTTTCTACTAGGAGGCTTTTTTACCTTGGCCCTAGTGAATACATGGAGCATGTATAGTATGTGTTTCGGGTCCGAAACACGAGATAAAGTCCACGATTCCAATTTTATTGATTACCTTGATTAGATAACTATAAACTTTGTGTTTTGTTTGTTTGCAGGTTGATTGGGTATCAAGGTGGAGATTTGTTGGATTTTTTATACCCAATAAATCTCAAACGATGATGTTAAACCGATATTGGATAAATTTATATCAACACCTTAATGATGGCTCGACCCGAAAATAACTTGAGGCCACTAGAAGCAACTTAATTGAGTTAATATTGTTCGTGGTCCAACACTTGTGGATGACCCAAGTTGTGGTTATTAGTTGGACGGTGATATATATTGGCCCATTTATTATCGATTAGTTGTCGTCTTTAACGGCATCCCATTCAGTGAACTTTGTCCCAATTGGAGTGACCTAACTAGTCCTCTATATATCCTCCATTTTTTGTCTACAGCCTTGTGGAGGGTGTATGTGCGTGCAATAGAGGAGAAATGGTGAGGCAACCGTTCTTGGTGGTTTGTTTGAGTGTTCAACTATTGCACCTCTTTTCTTCCTCCATTTGTGATATTGCTTCTACCACCTTCTTCCTTTGTGGGGGGTGAAAACTTGTGGCAACTGAAGTGTTAAAGTTGTGCGTCGAGCCTCCTCAATTAATGTTTGTTTGGTTGATTAAATTGAGACCGGATTAAGATTTTTCGAAGATTTCCATGACACTTACAATGTGGGATACAAGTCACAACAAACCACCACAAGAGCTCATACTTAATGCAAGTCCCCAAAACCACCACGATCCGTGATCTGCACCCACGTTGGATGTTCGAACACCACTATCCATGCTGCTGGATTGCAACTGGGAGATGTGGTGCATGCTGTGATATAAGCTAGCTCTCGAAGTTGGATGGTCCAAATTTATATAAATCCTACAGTGAAAGCGCATTCTTTCGATGTTGTATCCAAATCCTTTACCTTGTCATGGAAACCATGACATCCTTCTAAATAATCCGCCAGGGTCACTCCATCCTCCAATTGCTTTCCGGGGAAAAGGAAAAAAAAAGCCTCCACTGCGCTGAAGGAATTCCATCTTCATATTGAATCTTCGCCTTGACATCATCGATTATATCAGAACTTTTGACTTCCGAGAATATCGTCTTCCCCGTGAGGATTTTGACAAAAATCTGCATACCACCACGGTCCAGTTTGACCATTGACTAGTGCATGTTTGGCAAAAACTTGTGATCTTAATTTGTTATTTTTTTTTATTCTTTTACTACTAATTATGATTCACAATAAATTATTCACATATGCTGTAGAATTCAATAATTTATAGTACCTAAAAGTGCCATCAAACAAGCGACAAATGTTCAAGGGTGAAAAATGAGCTAAGTCGATAATAAAAGGTTAATAAATATTTTTAAAAATGAATCAACCAAGTAGTAGGCAAACAGACTAGTTTTAAAAGTGAATTGATCGGTTTTAGGGTATGCTACGCTTATGAATCTTAACAAGTTCTAAATTAATAATTATATACATTTAGGGCGTGTTTTAGTTCCTCCAAACAATTGGAAAATGTTCATATTGCTGATTATTAGTTTATGAAGACGAATACGTAGTGGTGGTAATCGAGCCGAGCGGCTCGTTGGCTCAACCGCTCGGCTCGTACTGTAGCGGCCCACGAGCCGAACGGCTTGTCGAAAAACGAGCTCGAGCCCTAGCCGAGCCTGCTCTGCTCGTTTTTTACGAGCGGCTCGTCTAATTTTTTTTTTCAAAGAATAGTTAAAAAAATTCAAAAAAGGCGAGCCCGAGCCAAGCAGCTCTGCTCGGCTCGCTACAGTACGAGCTCGTGGACCGAGCCAAGCTCGCCCAAGAGCAATGAGCCGAGCAGAAGCTCGGCTCGTTTTATAACGAGCCACGAGCTCAAGCTCATGGGCTCGGCTCGGCTCGGCTCTTTTGCCATCACTACGAATACGAGACGAGAGATGAGAGGATAGTTAATCTCATAGGCACATGCGAAGATGCAATTCCAGCAGCTCTCTTGTCTTGATTTAGCAATCTTAAGCGCTCAGGAAATCCCTTGTTTTGAGCCCTTATGGGTTAAGGCTCCTCCTCTATAGAAATCCATAGGATGCCAACTGCCGGGATTCCAATCCTTATTGCAAAGTCGATAAATTATACCCGTGTTTGGGCTCCATTTTAATAAGATTTTGAAAAAAAAAAAATGGAATAGTGACAGTGTATGATTATAAGAAAAAAATTAATGCTGCCCAAATAGGTGCTATATGTCCAATGGTCAAATCTTAACAACTTAAATATTATTTAGAAATTTTTATGCCTTCTCTACACTTTCAGCTGTGGACTAGTTAGCTTAAGAAATATCTCAACCTTCATGCTAGCCTTTTAATTTCAAGAAAAATAATACTTGTATATTAGGGGGTATATAAAGGTGTCCATAATGGACACCCAATACCTTCCCATTAGATGAAGTGCCGACCCCACCTGCACTTCATCCAATGAGGATGTGCCGGGTGTCCTTTATGTACACCCCGATGTACTTGTAGCACCTTCCTAATTTCAATCACTAAATTGGTCAAATTCGACTGTGATTATAGATTTTGTTTGGCAAATTCTTATAAATAGATAAAGATGAGCAGTAAATTAGCAATATTGAATCCTACAAAATATGTGATAAAAAATAATTTGACTTTTAGCCAGTATTAATCATACTTTCGAAAATGTTAATTGACAGATCCATATAAAGAAGGTATTGGAGTTAACAATTAACACAATTATGTTACCTATGCCCTCTACCCCTTCCCTCCCAACAAGTAAATGAAAATACAGCAAACCCATTACCATAAAGATTCTAGCAATAAGGGGATCTGCTAAAGAAAATAGACTGAGATGGGCATTTGCCTTCACAAGTATTGCTTAACGGTATTCATTCCCTCCATTTTGAGGAATGTCTTAAACCCACAAATATTTAGAAAAAGTTAATGTAAATTATAGAGAAACTTAAATACATAATTTCTCCTTCACACTGTCCTCCCAAGCAGAAGCCTTGCAGATAGGACACATGTTCTTGATTGACAACCATTTTCGGATACAGGCGACGTGAAAATCATGGCTGCATACTTTCAGCCTCCCGACATCATCCGTGTTGTTGTATTCTTCCTGTTATACATAAACACATGCTTACACCATTTAAGACTTTGCTTTTCCAGCGTGCAAGTGAATAAATACATTGGTAGTCAGTGGTTTCTAAACTTCATTTTGTTTCAAGTTGGACGCTGAAGTTAGCGCCGGGTTTGAGCCCCATTTTTGGCTAAGAATGCATTTTGCAATAGTAGATTGATGAAGAATAAGGAAAAGTTTTTTATTTGCGTGTAATATTATTTTACTGAAGAATGCGTGGTTGAAAAAAGGAGAGAAAAATATATATTCAAAATAATGGGGATCAAACAAGGGCTTAAACTTAATTACATATGGTTATTCAGTCCATATGTCCATTAGTTTCACTACTAGTAAAGGTGATGTGAGAGTAGTTATTTGCTAACTAAGATGCCAACTAGTCTACCACATCAATTAAAATAAAGTGTCCAATGTGGAATTTCCACAAAATGTTCAGGGGTCACCAGTATTTTTAACCTAATAATAGAATTCAATGGTCCATTTGCTGGAAGGCTAGAAATAACCACCAACTCGAGCTATATAAATCTATACTGTAGGGGTGTGTTATGATTGTAGGGTTCTTACCAGACAGATAACACACGTCCCTTGTTGGAATTGGTCTGAACAATTCATTGACTCCATCAAACACATCGCAATTAAATTATCAGACAAGCCAGTGTTTACATTGCCAATCCTCTCCCCCAGTGCAAGGAGTTCCTGCTCATTCCAAAAGATATTTAGTAACCAAAATAGCATAGGAACAAGAAAGGAGAAAAACGAAAGCATTACAAAACCTCGTAGCTCATATTGTCAATGTCAAGTCTCATGTCTCTATTCTGATCGTACAGACTTCTGGATCCATAATATATGGAGTGGTCAACAACCATGACACCCTGGAATATAGACATGTATATGACAATTTAGTAATTATCAGTGACCTGAGAGCACAAGGACCTAAATGTAAATAAAGCCTACGAATTTTGGTCTTGCACCAATGGTCACATGGAAGCATTAATATGGAATGATGTATTTCTCAGAAGGTCAAGACTTGACATTCTGTGATTCATAACCTTCAAATATAAGCATGAATGCACAATAAATAGAAAGATGCGCTCATATGAATTATCCATTAAACTAAGTTTCATTTTGACAATAAATTTAAGGACTCCCATCACAAAATTTATTCCACTCACATGAATTCTTCTTTCATCTTCTCCCGTTTCTATTCCTTTACCTCTCCTCTTACATTATTTATTTTCTTATGCAGTCTGAGTTTGTATGTGAACATGAGAAAAGAAGGTAATCCAGAACATAACAAATTCCATTACAGAGGGAACAGTCCTTAAAAATTCAAGCAATGACTAGCCACCCTGAAACTGGCTCGAAACATTATTCACTAGAAAATGAAAATATTCAGCCCTTACCCATGACAAGAAAAGATGTCATATCAATAGTAACAAAATGTCAATGAAAAGCAATGATTGACCTGCAGCTTAAGGGAAATAAAATGGAGAAGAGGAGAAAGAAAAATAAGATGAGAAGATGAGGAATATGGCTGTATAAGTAGGCTGTGATGGCAGACAATAGAGAAGAACAAACAATGAAGGGGGGCAATAAGATAAGAAAAAAGAGAATGAAAGAGAGAGAGAGAGGCTACAGAGAAGAAAAATAATCATATGAAGTAAAAAGAAAGAAGGCATGAAGTTTTATCCTGTAAATGTGTCTTTTGTTGGTATTCAATGAAATATGTTCAACAATCAATAGTCGATCAACTTTCTTCCAATTACATGAAACCCTTCTGACAGTATCTAAGAGCCAAAAAGTTCTCGAAGAAGATTTATGAAATACCTCAGGTGTCAGCTGATCCTGGAGACTTGCCTCCCCAGTAAATGATCTGTGTCTGTCACTAGACATCAAAGTTCTTCCATTTCTGTCAATGTTGCGCAATCTTATGGTGGAAAAGGCTCGTGGTTGTCTCATGTGATAACTTTCCGCAACCATTTGCGGCCCTTCATCCGACACAGCCACATGTCCAGGGCGGAGGTTGCTTGAACCAGCCCTGAAAGTTGGGGCAGACCTTTGGCTGCAACTGCTTCGAACTCCTCTAGCAGATTGACCCATGTTGCTTTGTACATTTTGAGGAACAGTGTTTCTGTTTGAGGCAACATCGTTGTGGTACCCCCCAATCTCAAGGGAAGCAGCAGGATGACTGTTCACCGCATTTTGTGAGTTAGGATCATGACTCAAGAAACTGGAACCTGCAATTTCAAGATGACAAAATCTTAGTAAGACGTATAGTCTTACTGACATGATGAAGTAAACCATAAATGTTACCCGAGGCAAAAGCCATCCCACGACCAGAAGGTGATATGAGGCTATGATTCCATTCCCTTGTTGGAGCATTTGAACTGTGTCCCCAGAAATCTGCTGGTCTAGATTGATCAGAAGACTGACTAGAAAGAGAAGGATGCACAGGATTGCTTGAAAAGTGGGTCCTGGCCAAATTGGTTTCCAAGTCAACTGAAGGTCTAATTCTCACATTCCTCGGCATACCTTCAGTGCCCATAGAGAGGCTATTATTACCTCTATAACAGGGAGGACGCTCCCAAAGTGCAGGATGAGATTCTGTACTCCGCTTCTCCTGCCATGAGTCACTAGGCAAGGAGAGATTGGATGAACTTCCAACATTGTAACATCTGCCTGTAATGCCTCTCTCGCACACTGGAGGGTTTCCAGGGCTTTTTCGCTTGTATGGTACTCTTTCATTGCCCATTCTCTGATCAAAAAAGCCACCATCTACCCCAGGGACCGTTTGCCCCCCAAGATTGGATGAAGATGCATGATGAGAATAATTTTCTTGATGCATATGGAAGGTTCCATTAGCAGAGTGATGAAGAAATGGATCACAGTATAAACCAGGAGCCTGTGGTGGATAATGTCGCATTTCAGAATTGAGAATTGAGGAAGAGTATGCACTCGACCTTGGAGCAGGAGTCCACTGAGAAGCAAAATGACCACCTGGAATTGTAATATTATCCATGGGACGAACCAGAGAATTGGTTTCAGAAACACCAGCCCTCCCTGCAAAACAAAACGGAAGAACTTCACAAGGCAAGATAATTATGCATACACAGAAAGCTCATGACAACCAATACCAAGAACAATCACAATTGGCTGAGAGCACCACAGTTACATCAGTGAGACCCAACCTTTGTTACTTGTTGTACAAATGGCTGCCCTTAAATTTCAAACAACTTGGTGGTTTCTAATCCAGGCATGATAGATAATGAACCAACTAGAAGACTGTATATAATGGCCAAATCTCATTTGTCATTCCCCACAAACTTATAGCTGCAACGGATGGTCCTACCCAAAAGAATAACTTATCAATGCTTTAACTCCCCTAACAAGAATAACGAAATCATTTCCTATGAAAAATAATTCACAGGTGTCACTGACATCAATTTGTAGATATTCTAGTAAAATTATTTGCAAGTGTAAGCTTCATTTAACTAGCAGTCAGTTTGTGTGAAGAAAAAATAATTTAATGAAGCAACAACCTCATATCCCCTTCTGGTAAAAAACCACAACCATAGGCCTGAGCAAAAAACTGCAAAACCGACCAAAACAATGAAACCGAACTNTTTTTCCTTTTTTTTTTTTTTTTTATTAAGAAAAATATTAATCAAAAGATAAGCCCTAATTTCATAACTGTATCTCGATTTCCTCCAATCTATAATGTTGCAAGTAAGTGATAACATTGGGAATTTTCTTTCACGAGCTCATCATGCTATACTTAACCTTTTTTCCTGCTTGACAATCAGGCTATCTAATGCATAAAAAAGCAACAAAATTCATAAGTTTTCTATTGATCCGTCTCTATTAACCTAATTTTATTCGTTAGTCAATAGTTCTTGTAATATAAAATTATTTAATTATTTTAGTTCTTATAATCAAAGTGGGATTAAAACACAGAATTTTTTTTTTAAAAAAAAAAAATTCGACTTGGACTAAAAGTCTAAACTGAACCGAACCGGTTTGGGTTGGTTCAGTTTAAAAGCTATTGTGGGTTGATTTGGGTTGAAATTCACCCAAACCAACTAATTTGGTTTTGGTTTTGGTTTCGAGTTGGAGTCAAAACCGACCCAAGCCAAACCGTGCCCAAGCCTACACAGTCATAATAATGAAAATAAATTGAAGGTAAAATGTAAGTTAATATTTATACCTATATGCATGTAAGGTAGTTCTGCATGATTCCATCCCTGATCATTATCAGTATCACAAATATGAGATGCATTGAATGTCTCTCTCTCCATAGCTGTCTAAGATGGTGCAGAACGTTATTTATCTAGTAAAGCAAAACCTGCATGTGATCACAAGTCATCTCACAGTTGCATAACTCATGTCAGAGAGAAAAAATCCATTAAACGGGATGCAATAGTACGTTGCAAATAATTTAACACTTTTATGTCAAAACCAAAAATGTACTGGGATGACTAATAGATATAATATATTATATAAAAAGAACTGCAGCCTTTTATGCTATACTATCTTACTTTCTTTTCATATATAACCATGTAGTAAATGACACTTAAGCATGGTACAAATCAAGAATTCATATCCAGTCTCCATAAGACTTATCCAGGTTATCAAACCTCCCTGATTAAGACAAAAACAGTATGGTAAACCTACCATAAAATAATGTAAAGATCACCTATTAAAAACTTCAGATTTGTCATGTTATAGCACTCATCTTAATCATGCCTAAGTAGTGAAATTGCAGACCAGCCAATTTTCACCATGTAAGACAATTTAAGTAGCATCCAATCCAGATTAAGATAGATAATAAAAATCAGGGGCTCAAGATGGTAAACCTAACAAAAATTATTTATATATATCAGCTTTCACAAACTTAAAGAGTATAATATAATCTCAATCATGGCTAAATACTGAAATTGCTCTCAGGCCACACTCACCATGTAAGCCAATGAATTATCCATTAATATCGATGAATATAGACAACGAATTCTAAATAATTTCTTTAACTCACCTTAAGCAAAGGGTATGGCTTGTGCGGGCTCATGTGTATAACACATTCTAGAGAAAGGGTAGAGATGAGTGTGCACTCACATATGCCTGAAAGAAATCTGACCAACCAAACATATAGGTCCAAAAAGAAATCAAACGGATTACACAGGAAATTTTTCTGATAATTAAAATCTTTTATTTCCAAAAGCATCAGTTAGCACCCTATAGCATGCTGTGCCTTTTGGATTTTTGCAAAATATTTATACCTCTGAGACAATTACCCGTGCTATTTAGGTCATTTAGTACAGATTCTTGGCATCATCTGTAACTTAGAAATGGTATAAAGGCACATCAAAAAGTGTGACTAATTAAAATCAGATCAATCCTTTCAGATGAAAAATGATGGCAATAAGAACCTCCGGGGAAACAACACTGATTCATAGAAGAAGATTTAAAGTTATCCCATCCTCCTCCTCGCACACGGAATGTAGTAAGATTTAGGAGGTATTAGAGATAACAAGTACTAGCAGTCCTCCTTTGTTCACATTTGCAACAGGAAAATACAATCATCATGGGCCCAGAACTAATAGACTTTTGTTTACAGGATAATTTACAGGGACCAAGAAGGCTGAGCTTTTAAAATCAATGCATATAATTCAAAATACTTATAAGAGGAAAAATGGATTAATTTACGTAAAGTATAGCTAGTTAAGCAAAATTTCAGCAAATCGTATAGTTCCTATATGTTGCTTGCTTTGAACCTCAAATAAGCAAAATGACCAGTATTTTACCGTGTGTCAAAAATGTTAGCAATAACTTAAAAACAGTGTCTTCTTTCTCCTAGGTTATTAATTGCAAGTACATCAAAGAGCCCCTTTCTAATTTTGGAGCCAATAAATTCCAAGAAGGTATAAGGAACATGGCATAGTCTGACATTTTAATGTTGATATCCATAACCTTCAACAAGGTATAAGAACCGTGGCATATTCTGAAACTCTTTCTGACGCTTCCATCAATATATTAAATGTTTTATGATCAAACATGAATTAAGAATTGCTTTCTTAAAGTACAATTCATTAACAATTTTCTATTATTTGCAGGATATAAGAAAGAACAAAGCATTAACTAGTAAAAGGACTTGAAAAATCTTCAACAATTTACAGAATGGAGGACATAACTACTATATTCATGTTTTATAGCTTAATTACATCTCCGCTGATGAGGTTTTTCAAGTAATCCCATATATAAAAAGCTTTGGATCAATAAAGAGAAGTCATCAATGCAGACTGATGCCTTCACTTCCCCCTACCATCATTTATTTTAACTTTTACTTAATTTTTTTTTTCTCTCATTTCTCTTATGTAAGACTACTTTCCTATATCTCCAATCTGTAGTTACATAACAAAACCTTAAGTCTTAGCTACAAACATTCACGTGTTACTTATGTACAAGACATTGTCGAAGTCTTTTGTCACAAGAACTCTCCCACGTCTCATCTCATGGTGAGACATCAGAAGTCGCTTATTGGTTAGTCAAGTCACTAATCTCCACATTCTCATTAAACTTATTTATACAACCTAGTGGAGGATCATATCTCCATCAGGTGGTCTCAGATGGAGCTGCTTTTTCATTAATGTTTAGTGACGGCGTTGAATGTCCCACAAGTGACATCTAGGACTTTCTTTCTAGTTAAGAATCACTCATTAAAAATCAAGTCAACGTGGAAAGTTTCCACCATCATCAACAGTGAACTTCATGAAACTTTCAATCAACATTTTCAATTTTCAAGGAAACATTGCAAAAATCTCAGCTTCCTCGCCTTACTAACATACAAATTTCCCATAGATTACATCATCTGTGGATCAAAGTTGAAGGATGTGATAATTTCACTACAGAAGCATCCAACTTGACCGTTTCACCAAAAATTTATATTAAGTTCCAGAAATTCATTGTGTGTTGACAAGGAATAATACTGGAGCTCTTGAAATTCTAGACCCCTGAATAATATATACGGGTAATCAAAACGTTCCTCCACTGAACATAAATGATATATAAATAAAAAAAGAACCCAGTCGTTCCACAGAAATTCAGAAACTTAGTTTCACCATCCTAATGATTAACCATCATAACAAGTAATACCAATTAGAGCTTAATCATAAAATGCTTCTTACAAACTTCATAATACAAAAAGAAAAATAGGAAAAAGATCAGAAAATACTCCAGAAGTAAATCATACTCCACTAAATTAGTTGGAAAAAATCAATAACAGGCTATAGATAATAAATGTAAACTGTACACAACAATTTCAAAGGTCTTTCACGACGGCTTTTCCGACCAAATGAAGAAAAAATGTCATTTAAAGAGCTGAACAAATCTTTTGTCGACAAAATGATAATTAATTACAATATTTCACGAGTCTCAAAGATCATTGAGACATTTGCACGCCCAAGAAAACCAAACCCTCGAGCTAATAAAGTTATGCATCAGTGTCTCTGTGAGATGAAGCTTGTCCACCAATATGGAAGATCGAATACCCCTAAAATGTCGAGAAGGATGTTCTGAATACATCCAAACGACAGAATTCGTCTTCAACTACCAGGCAACGTAAAACATGCCAGCAGAAAGATTAAGTGGACATGAGAACTCTGATAAACTATGCTGGCAGCTCTCCATCTAGCTAGTAGTAAATTGATGTGGGTATGCTATATAACAAGTCTCATGCCCTAAAAGTTGGTAACATCCAAAAGGCATCAAGACTTCACTTACTTTTAAGAAGCACTTACATATCCACTAACCATCCATTGAACTTGATTGCTATCTTACTAGAGATATTCTGCCACCACTCAAGTGAGATCACAACTTATAAACCTTATCTTAAGCATCACTAGCTCAACAGAGACAACTAAATAGATGATCAACCTGCATGAAACTGAATCCAAGGAACTGTTGCCAACAAGTGGAGAAAGTAGGTATATATTTCAAGAGCTTATGTCCAGTTTCTCCATACATAGATCTCCAGAAGCATAGTTGCCCCAAGCCAACCCCACATTCCCCCACCATACGATCACCATATACAGATCTCCGATCAGCACATTTATAGTTGAACCCAACTCAATACATCAATTCACTGTTACTCAATTGCATGAGAAAACAGCTGATTAAGATAATATCCACAAGCCATAGACATGCTTTAAGAACATTAGTGTTTCAATGACACTCGTCTGGCATCATAAGACAAGGAGACAAATTTTGCCAGTCCCCTCACACCAAAAATATCCCCAAACACCAAAATGTATCCGGAATCATTTATCAACAATTAGTGTCCATCCTTGGAATTAATTGCAAGGGATTTGCAGTGGAGCCTCACGTCATTGGAGCAGGAAAGCAAGAAATTATAGTGTTATCAACTGCAAGGAATTTGCAGCAGAACATCGTGTTATTGGAGCAGAATGTTTGATGATCAAATAAATTCCACAAAGCAAGAAATTATAGTGTTCTGCCAAAAATGACAAAATACAATATCCTATATTTGCTTGTCCAATTCAAAGGCTGAAGCACAAGACACTGCAACAGTGGCAGGTCAATCTAATGATTCTTGAAGGGAACACCTGATATCGAATCAAATCTGTACACCAGTCATCCAGATTGAACAAAAAAGTGCCTGCAATACGATTTGTGATTCAGATTCTTGATATTGGTGAGACTAAGTAGCTATCCGCTAAATATGTATCCTATACGAGGCTAGGACACTAGTGATTGCTCAAATTCTCCAAAATTAAAGTGTCGCTGAGCTACAAAAGATGTTTACTACCAGGAATTAAATTATTTGCCCATATCCACCAGTACTAAGACATGATTCAAGAACAGTGTGAATAACCTTTTACTATTAATAATAACTACTAATTTACAAGCTACTAGTTAGAAAATCCAATCTTAGGAAATTTGTTGTTGAAAGCAATTATCAGAAAAATGGGGGGGGGGGGGGGGGGGGGGGGGGGGGGGGAGGGATAGAGAGACCTAACCATCAAGATATCTCACCTGCAAGTTCTACCCCTCACTCCACAGGCTTCACTAACTCATTTTCGTTTTAAATGCAAAAGGAGATGAACGAAAAATGATATGCCTTCATGATCCCCAAATACAGGATCGAGGAGCTCGAAAAGGCCCTAAGTTTGGACTATTAAATTGATATATATAGATTCTTACATATCAAAGTTCAAATCCTCCATTAGTACAAGCCACCAGCAACCTCTGCCTGCATTGTCAAACATCTAAACCTATTTATTCTGAAGTTAAGGAAAAGTACTAGAACAAATGGTTTCTGCGCTTCAGACCTAGGGAAGAAATCATGAACAAAAACAAAAATTGATCATGGCATGAGCTGAACAGATATGCAGAGAGAGATAGAGACAAGCAAAGAAATTTTAAAAAGATCAAAATGAGGTTTCATCTTTGGGGTGTGCATAAGCATGACCATGCTCTTCATCTGTTGACTCAGTGACAAGTTTCCTGAGTTATCACAACTCCTTTGAGACTCTAAACTGATCTAAGGTGGAGTCAAGCCGAGTCCATTTAATTTTTAAAAGCATGTTAGTAGGGTTTTTTGGTGTTTAGATCAAAAATTGCACAAAATTACAAATAAAACCAGGCGCCTGTGCAAACCAAACATTTATCAACTAGTTAATATGCCTTATTTTTCAAAATATAAGGAGTTTTTGAATTGAGGGGAGGGTTAAATTTTCCTTAGAGCAACACGGTGGTAAAATTGGCTTTAACCTAATAACAGAAACTCAGTTAATGTTTGTGAAAATTTAAAAGAAACTACAGTGAGAAAATATCGTGAAAATTTAATGTTTGCAAATTTCTTTTTACCCACTAACAGAGGGTAAATCTACCTTCAATGACCAATACCATCACTTTTAACTGTTCAATTAATGATTCAAATGATCAAGAAACTATGGTGAGAAATGGAGGTACGAGCAAATTAGTTTGCATGTTTAGAAGAAATTTCGTATTAGTTCAGAAAACTGATCTGCACTTGCATATTTTTACTCGACAAATACAAATAATCAATTGAGACTTAATTCAGGAAAATCCTTTTAACTCATTTGTTCCAAAATGAGAAAAAATAAGGAGCTAAATTCTCAAAAAAAAAAAAAGTGCTACACCAAACCAAACTTTTTTTTTTTACACTAACGTTGGCGTAATAAAGCAATCTAAGCAAGACATTAATTTAATTCAAGTTACCATAGATTACGATGCTCGTAGATTAAAAAAAAAATGTATTTCACGGGAGCAAATACATATGCGGTTTGCCCATAAACAACACAGGTCATTTATAGAAGGAATAAAATACCAACAAATAGCATAGTGACGGAACATCTCCGCCAATACCGGTAAAATCACGATGCAGTTCAAATTAATGGATAAACACGGAAAACAACAAATGCTGAACCACTATAAAAAAAAACGAAAATCGGATGTAAGCATCGAAGAAATACAAATTCATGATCATAAATTAAACAAATAAATAAAATCGGCACAAAATTTAAATATTCGACAAAAATCAGGCTAACAACTTGAAAATATAAATTGGAGACGCGCGAAAAAAAATCGCATAATCGTGCAACGAATACATAACAAAATATCTAAAATTCATGTGAAGGTGGAAGATCAGACGGCGATTTTAAGTATTGAAAAAAAAAAAAAAAACTAACCTCGTGAAATCGATTATTGAACGATTCAGATGAATGATCAATTGAGAACTGCGTATATATAGATAGTCGATAGAATATACCCCCGTGAACCCGGAACAGAGAGATATAGAGAGAGATTACTTGAACGAAACGGTGAGCAAATAAAATACAGGTTGACTCATAGAATCCGCAATTCCTCTTGCCCTGGTGAGTGGATTATTGCCGGAGATTTAAATAAATACAAAGTGGATGCTGAGTGTAACAAGTTAGGGTAAATTTTGGAATTTTGATGGATGGGGGACCATAATATTGGGTAATTATATTCAGACCACGATCTTTATTTTTCCACCACAAGTTAATTGTATTTAAAATTCTTAATATTTACGCACTTATATCTCTAACGATTTTCATGTTATTTTTATCTTTAATTTTTTTTTATTAATTAACACATTTTGTATTTGATAACAATTTTATGTCCAGAAATTCATTGAAAATAACGTAAAATAATTTTATTTTCCATCATATTTTTAAAAAATTAATTAATTAATTAAACATGTGAAAAAGTATTTTTCTCTCATATCAAAGCATGAAATATTTTAATATAAATTGTCATTAAGGATGAGATGTACTAATTAATGAAATGTTGAAGAAATAAATTCAACGAAAAATAGTTAAGAAAATAATTGCTACAATGGGAAGAGTTTGAGGAGCTCAACTGCAATTAAAATATTTTAGAAATGGAAAATGTAAGAATAAATTAGAGGGTAATTGGCACAAAACATTCTAATGGTTTATTTTTTGTGTAAAATGTCATTTTCTATCACCTAACATTTGGAAGAAGCTAATTTTCACCATCTTGTTTTAATATACTTGCATTAAAAGTTTTTAATATTTACTTTTTCTTGTACTTGTCTTATACGTCCCTCACATTTTTAAATAAGCAAAAATAGAACAAATATGTGCTAATTAAGGTTGTCGATTTGAACATAAGTATGATAATAAGAAAAAGATCTTTGATGTAATAAAATGTGGTACACTTATAAAAATTAATTAATGTTGAACGTCTGTTGCACGTTATTATAAAATGCTTTATAAGTTTTGTAAAAGTAATATTTGAATACTTGTGAATATTAATTAATTTAGAATTAATGGCGGGGAATATATACGTAATAATGAATGTTAAATTATTTATTTAATTTTTAATTTAGTAAAACTGGATGTCAATTATCATACATGGATGTAAATAATGAAATGTATTTTTGAATGTGAAATTTTAATTACTGAAATGCATAAATGAAGGTGAATATTAATCCTATTTGAGCCTCATTTTTTTTTTTATATAGAATGAATTTTGAAATAGTAAATTGACGGAGAATGCGTGGTTAAAAATAAAGATTTTTTTTTTTGGATGTGTATAATATTATTTTATTGAAAAATGTGTGGTTGAAAGAAAACGGAAAAAAATGTATTTTGAAAAAAAAAA